GATAGATATCTATTAATTGTTTTAATTATCGAATACAAAGTAACTTGCACTCACAAAAAATATCACAAAAAACTGAATAAATGTGCAATTTTTTCCTTATTCCAATTAATGCAATCATAATTTTTTATATAATAGCATAACAAGGATGTGTGATTTTACCTACTGACATATAGGATATTTAGGTTGACTTGGTCTGATTTGGACAAAAACGCACTAGTCAGCTACTTCAACTAAGGCGAAACCTACTCAGCAACACGGTATCTGTGCTTTCGGGCCACTTCGAAATAAGAGGGAATGTTATGAGACTTGGTTTACCCTATAATGACTTTTGTCGCTTTCGTGAGTCTGAGGGTGAAAGAAGACCCTGCTTCATCTTTTGTGTCAGTGCTCTACCTCCTTTCTGATGAGAAAAATTTGCCTATTGAACAGTTCATAAACTCTTAAAATGATCGTGTTTACTTACCTAAACTCACTGCCTTTCACTGCCATTTAAGATCACGAATGGCCACCCAAAGTAATTTTCCATCTCAAGAAATGATATGGGTAGTTGTGACTGCCGATGAACGCTCTTCAATCGTTTCCATCGAGCCTAATGCCTGGTGTTAAAGTCAATGTGACTTATTATCGGGAAATTGGGAAGTATTTTGGAAGTTGCTTTAGAACCGTGGGCACATTCCAACAAGACTTGGCATCGGTCTCGTTCTTATAAAATACCATCTCGTGTGAACAAAGAATGGTAAAAACTCACGTTCGTTACTTCATTTTGTCCACACAACGGACGAATGGCCTTCGAATTCGTTAGATGCAAATCCGATGGGCTATTCCATGTGGGCCATTTTGGAGAGGTGGAGAGCAAAAGGTGAGGACTAAGAAATATGCTAATATGGATGTTTTAAAGAAACCCATTGTTTAGAAATCGGGTAAAGTATCGGAAGTTCACATTCGTGAAGCATGCAATTCATTTTTTTTACCGTTTGAAGGTCATAGTCAAGGTAAAATATGACCGCATTGAGCTAGAATGAATGGGTTCTGAAATATTGATTATTTTCATAAATTTTTGTAATTTGATATAATAAAAAATAATTTCAACAAAAAAGATATGGTCGCTTGAAGAGGTAACACTTCAATCAATAATTGTGTATTTCTTTTAACTCAAGATATTCATTTATAGAAAACTATTTTTATAAAATTAATAAAGCCATCATCAGTTTTTGTGATGATAACTTTAGAGTAAAGTCAAACTACCGATTAAATAAATATTATTGTAAAATAAATTGTTATTCCTTTACTTGGTTTTTATTTTTTACCAAAATTTGACCATTTAGCCTGAAAAAAGACTTTTATAAAAAAAAAGAGTTAATTGCTATAATAAAGCTAGCGTAATAGCGCCCTCTGGCCTTTGGTTATTATTCTTTTTAAAAAATTTTTGCTTGAAAAACGATTTTCATAAAAGGAATTAATAGTTGTCGTACTTGAGTATTTATAGATCTTCTGGAAAATCACGTCAAATAAGATATGGCTATATAAAAGGAAGATCGGATTTGGTAGATTAAAGTTATGTGCGATTATACCGTAAAGTTAAATGATTTTTGCAACTGGAAACTCTAACCGTTAGAAAATAATAAAAAATTACCTTTGTATTCGGCATTCGGTTCAATTAGCTGCCTTCAATTTTATTTCCTCAGAAAAGGTAATTTTGTTATTAAGATAGTTAGCTTTATTTATTTTTTAGTGAATTCTTCTTACACAATCCATTTCCCGGTGAAGCTAACTCATTCAGTTAGCAGATATACATAAAGCAAGAATGCACAGAAATACTTGCTTGCAGCATAATTAAAATGTCAAAGGAAGAGAAAATCTAATTAACACATTAATCATATTATAAAGCCACTACCACTACCACTGCTCACTACAAGCATTCAAATGCTACAATATTTAGACGCCCACACATCGCCACCCATACATTCCATAGGACGAGGGCGCAAATGATGAAGTTACGACTTAGTTTGTAGTCCAAGCGTAAGAAGATAAATATAAAAACTATGATTTCTAGACCTGAAATCTGTGCGCTGCAGTGCATCTCACATTTGCAATTGGTAGTACATATTTTTTGACATAAACTTAGAGTGCATCTTGTCCTTATATCCTTTAGCATTTCTAAACACATGTGTATATACATTTGCTCTTCTTTATTTATTAATTTATTTATTTTTTTTTTTTGTTTGTTATTAAAGTGGACAACTTTTTTACGTGTATTTAGAGCTTAATTGGAGATCATCTTGGCTCACGTTGCATCACACTTTGATTTAAAACTGCATAAAAGTGCAGCATAACATTTTTATATGTACCTTAACACATATGTATGTACCATATGTACTCACTTAGTTATAAAGTTATAATTAAAAAAAATGCAGTTTTCTGACGACTGCCAAGTTTTGCTTTGGCTTCGTTAATTCCGTGATATGTTTGGCTTCAAGTTCTAAGATAAAAATGGATTATCGATTTTTTAATGCTAAGATTGAAGTAATTAATTTGAATATCACAGATATTAAAGTATTTCAAGACAATGTATTGATACAAATTTAGCTCAGCTAATGGTTTATCCAAGCATTTTTTAATTGCGGGTCTTAAATAAAACGACTAAAAGAAAAAGCAACAGATCGAAAAAAATGGCAGGACAACTAAAAAAATGAATCCCTGATATTATGTTCAAGAAGTGAATATGATATAAGGTCATCTATTTTGTGGTTTCGAAAGTAAATCGCAGAGTATTGTACGTAGACAAATTGGACCAAAAATGCATTTGACGCAAGAACGCAATGGTTGTATTTTAATTAATTAGTTATGCTCGTAATTTGGTTTTTTGGAATACTCTGAACTGTTTATTTCAACCTCGATTAGTAACTTGATTAGTAAAAAAAATCTTATGTAAATTCTTATAGTCTAAATAAGTAGTAAAAAGTGCAGCTTCAATAAGTTCTCATGTAGCTTCCCACTAGAAATATTTGTTTTTTGTTTATCCATTTATTTAATATTAATTAATATGAATCATAATAATAATTATTACGATCTGAAAAAAAGAAAATCGCGTATGGACTATGCCCAGTGACATATCTAAAATGCACTTAAAATATATACTTAAAATAGAAATGTGTGACTCACATATACATATCTAAAACGTCTCTCAACGTTTTTCTTCTCAACCTTGTAAAAGTGTTGGAAAAAGATCGGATAAATATAGTCGTCGATAATGCACGTTGCAGCGCAACAGGTAAGGGCAATGATTATGATAGCCTCTATATGCTATTTTGCATATTTTAAAACAATTTGTCGAAGGATGCAACCTTATACTATGGTCAGATACACCTTAATTTCGTTAAAATCTTAATTTCATCTTGGTTTCAGCGAAATTAAGTTGCTTTTTCAATACAAAATTCAGTTTTAAGGTTAGAACGAAATTAAGGAAAAGGTCTTAATTTCGTTGAAATGAAGGTTGAAATTAAGGAACAATTCAAAGGCAACTATACATAAGATAAATTTCAAGCAAAAGATAAAGTTGAGATAACGAAAAAGAGATATTTTTTCAAAATAAATGTCAATAACAGTTGACTTTAATAAAACCGGGAAACTATTTTAAAAGTAATGTAAATTTTTAAATTCAAATATAGAAAAAAAACTGTAACTGTTATTAATTTAAAATAGAGTGAAAAATAAAGACTCACATACCTCAAATTCACTAAAGCTAATAAAACTACTGAATGCCATCCTTTAAAGTTATAATAATCAACTTTTAAAATTTGCCAGATACAAATGGTGTTTGGAGCATGTAATTTTTAACATTCCATTTGTTCGATAAAAAACATATGATTTACTTAATTTGGGGCAGTTTGAACACTTTCCAAATTAGCTTAATTTCCATTTCTACGAAATTAAGCAAATTTAACTGTCTAAACATAGTATTAGCTAAATTAATACTAAGTATTTATGACATTAAGTGTTAGCAACATTAACTTATATAGACAATGATTGTATTGAGGTAATGATTCTTTAAGTTATATGCTTGATTTTAGCATTACATCAAAATTATATTATATGTAATATCAAAATTATATTAATTCAAAATGAAAGTCACTGATAGCAATTGAATAGTATTTAGTCTGATTATAAATTGCAAATTATATACAAAATCGATCTGCATTTTTTTTTTTTTTATAATCATAAATTAAGATTATTATTTATCTTAATCTTATTCATAATCAAACCAGTTGTTATTATGTATATAAAATTTGGACTGATTAAAAAATGTATGACTATGGTGTCCATATAAAAAAGGATCACAAAAAATATCCTACAAAATAATGCCCCCTATAACGCGATACTCTTATAACGCGTTTTTATATTACGCGATTTCAATCCCCCGTATTACGCTGGGATTCTCCCATATACGCGGGGATTTGTACAGTTCATAATTTGCTTCGCGTACCTTTGCACGTGTGTGTGCGGGGTATACGGGATAATCCCTATAACGTGATTTCGTATAATGCGGAACCAATCTACCGCGTTATAGAGCGGATTACTGTATTTCTAATCGCATTTTTGTCATTTGGGCTGTACAAGCATTAACATATTTTAATAAGTATTGATGTGTAATATGTGGTTCTTCTGTACAACCACTTGAAAATGTTTATTATTTTGCAAGCATTTATTTTTTTACAAGTAGTTATTGTTTTTTTCTCTTGCTTCTGAGGAGACGCGCTATATACTAATGGACGCTATATACTAATGAATATACTAATTAAGTTAGTTGCTGTTTGTACTTTGGTTTTTACATCACGGTAGATGGCGTTGCGCTGACTAATGTGTACGTCAGAAATATTTTCTTATATTTTTTATTTTATTCAAGACTAAAGTAATAAATCATAGTACACATAGAATTTAAATATATGAACATATAAAAAATATAAAAATTTTTAAACATTATACAGTGTGTAGCTGTCTAATAGAATAAATATATTGCAAAGAAATTTTTAGAACAATTTTAAGAAAATGCATATTCTAAATTTTGCAACTATCTTGCTATTTGTTGGCTTATATGTATCTAAAGATGGTTTTGGTCTTGAAATAAATTGTTTCAATAGTCAAGATGACGAAAGCGATAACCCCATATGTGAAATATTTGATGATTGGATTGATCTTCAAAGCAATTCAATATGCTATGGTTTGACCATCGATCAAATTCACATGGAATTTGATGCCTGTTATACCTATCTGGATATGGCAAATCATTTCTCTGGGGATACCGTTAACCGACCTGGTGTTGCAGACTTTTTCTTCAAATCGGCCAGAGATGAACGGGAGCATGGTATCAAACTAATTGAATACCTTTCTATGCGTGGTCAACTTAACAATGTCACCAATTTGGTTCACACTCCCAATATTTCAGTTCGCAAATGGAAGAATGTTGCTGATGCTGTGCGTGCTGCCCTGGCCTTGGAAACTAAGGTTGCAAAAGCAATTCGCAATCTAATTAAAGCATGTGAAAGTGAATATGCTGTGCTTGTTGAGAATGAACTATATAATTTCTATCACATGGTTGATTTCCTAACTGAGGTGTATATGGAGGAGCAGTTACGTAGCCAACGTGAATTAGCAGCCATGCTCAGCACACTAACCAAATTGGAAACTAGTTTGGATAATGGCTTGGGTGAATTCATGTATGACAAAAGTTTAATGTAATTGCAAAAAAATTACTTAAACAACATAAATTCAAATAGTTCACATTGTTATTTATTTATTTATTAAAGTTTGTAATAATAAAATAAATAAAATTTCACAAAGTAAAGAGAAATGCTGATAAATTACGTGATTTTTGCCTTTAAAATATATGTATATTAGTTGTCATAATAATATAAAAAATCGGTACAAAATTATTTGTATCAGTCTATTTTAAACTTAAAATATGGGGCTATGGCTAAGAGTACATTCACACTGTCTCATTTAGGCGGGTTTGCTCATTATAATCACTAATGAGGATGATTTAACATACAAAGAGCTTTCATATAAATGAGCTCATTTGCAATAAATCAGCTCATTTATTGAAACTGTGAAGCAAATGAAAGTGCATAGAAATTATATGCCGAATCTAAATCTTAACTTGGTCAAGTGTGGTAATGCATTATATTAGAGGATGTTTATAACAGATTTTGTGGAATTTAAAGTACGCTTTTAAGAACGTTTTTCTAAAATCAATCTATTTAATATTACTTACTATTAGGTTTTAGCAATTTAGTAAAATACAATGCATACATATAAATAACATCGATGCAGTTTGCATATAACAATAAATATATTATATAAATAGATAGAGAATCAAATGTATTTTTTATTATGTTGAGGCTAGAGTTGAGTCAGTGCACCTGAGCACTTTTACTCTCTATTAACTGCGAAGTTTCTTCAAAACCCCTCTTTGCGCCTTGACTAGATTATTGTTTATCATTTCATCAGACTAAGCAATAATTGACCTCAGATCTGCATACCTCCCCGATGAGCCTGTAACCTTTCTGAGATTTGATAACGCTGTGTTGGTAAGTCTGACAGATTTCGCAAATAATTTCAGGGCTCTATCCTTTACGAATTTTTTGATCGGATTCATCTTGAGGTAACTGAGGATGTCAGACTGGCTTTGTGCCATTTCTATTTGGCGAATACTAGTTTTTTTATATTTATAAAATGATATGATATGTTAAATTGTGATGTATACGAATATATACATATGATATATACATATGTATATATAATATTATTATATATAACACAAAACAATATTCTTTTATGTTATTAAAAATATTTGTAGTTTGGATATATGACACAAGACATTTTGGATTTTAGAGATTAATCTAATTATTTAAATTTAAATTCAATTATTGCATAATTATTTGAAATACAAAGGTGTGAGACATATATAAGATAGTTACATATATGGACATTTTCTTACACATCGGATGGATTTTGACAAAAAATGACATTTCCAATTCGGTTAAAATTTTTTTTATGAGCTCCTTTCATAAAATAAGAAGATCCATACATCCAGGGAAAAATTTTGAAATATTTTTCCTAGGAGATATGGACCCATGGGGTTTTGACAAATACTCTATAAATTCTGTAGAATAAGAATAAATTCTATTCCATTATTTTTGCAAATTGCCTACAATTAGTAATTCGGTTTTTCAAATGTAATGCACATATAATCTAACAATTCAAATATCAATTACAATTACTCTGTAATTAGTAATTGTGCTTTTCAATTATACTTACACTTGCAATCTAGCAACTCAATTCCCAAATAAATTACCCTGTAATTAGTAATTGAGTGTAATCTAATTACAAAAGTCATCAATACTGTACAGCTCTGTGCATCAGCAATTTGTTGAAGTTAGAGTTTACTAAAGTTGAATTAGTAAACAAACATTTAATATACTACAAGATACAATCATAACTAAAAATAGTTATTCAAAAATTGTATAATAGAAAAAAAAAATTGCTAAATGTTTTTTTTGTTAAAATTTTATTGGTGTGTCATTAATCATCCATCCTTAATTACTGTCAGATATATAAAATAACTATGGGCACTTTGAAGAATTTGGGCACTTTGAAGAATCTGGGCACTTTGGGGACTTTGGGCACTTTGGCGGCTTTGGGCACTTTGGGCACTCTGGGGGCTCTGGACACTCCGGGCACTCTGAACACTCCGGGCACTCTGAACACTCCGGGGGCTTTGGGCACTTCGAAAACTCTGAGCACTCCGGTGGGTCTGGGCACTCTGGGCACTTTAGGCATATACATAGTGGCTTATCGGGATTTAATGTGAACTGACTTGCTGACAGATAAATAATGTAACTATTACTCCATAACCAATCTATGTAACGTTCGATCATAGTTTGAGACTCATGGTCTATGCCTACTTGTGGATTATTTGTTGTTATATGTGAAGTCACATCGTTTATACTCATTTTAGCTTCGTCCTCACCCAATTCAATTAAAGCTACCTTTACCATAGTTTTAGTAATTGTGTCATTGGTCTCTGGTGTTTTGCCAAACCATACTGGACTATAGATAGCCTACAAGATTTTATAAATATATAATGTGGTGAGAATAGTAATAATGAATAATATACCATGATGAAAAAGTTCCTTAGTGATTAATGACACACCGTAAATTTAACAAAATATTGAATGAAAATTCATTCAATGTGGGATGTTTGAATGAAATTTAATATTGAAAAAAATTTTTGTGATTTTTATTTTATGAAATGTAATAATTTAATATAGAATTTATGAATTTACATGTCCTTGGTATACTTGATAATATTTGATAAAAATAAAGTGAAAAAATAGAAATATGTTTCTATTTGTCGTTATATACATATGCATATAAAGAGGTTTCGAACAGTAGTTAATTGCAACAACAAAACATTTATTTATTTTTAATCATTTGAATTTCTGGCTGACCATACAGCTGTTTCGAGTATTGCCAAATACCCATCATCAGTGATCTTATATTTATTTCTTTTATTTAATTATTCGTAAAAAGTTTTTTGAAACTGCAAGTAGAAAGGGTTGAACTTGTGAAGCACGGAGTCAGTGCTCAATAGTCAACCGACTAAAGGTCTTACTTGACTTTTATGTTCTGACTTGGACTTTTGTTAGTTTGCTATGAAAGCTATATGGTCAGCTGAAAATTCAATTAATTAAAAATAAAATTATGATTGACGTCATAACTGACAAGAAATAAAATTAAGTATTAATATATATATAATATATAATAGCAGTTATATTAAAAGCAGTGGCATCTAGTAACTAATTGGAATCGATAGCGTATAACAACTATTATTGCTTATTTCCATGACACAATATTTTGAAGGTATTATATTCATTTTTCACAATAGAGTATGGTGAATAAGATTAAAGTAGTTGGATTAGATACGAGTCCTGTTGTTAGATACGAGTCACGAGTCCTGTTAATTCATATCTTATTCATGGCATATGCAACATACGAATGTAGTATGATGCCCAATGATAAGAGAATGAATTGGAAAACCAATTATCGGTATCCATATACCACTGTACAAATGTTTATATATTAATTCCATAGTACCAGTTTTGTTGAGATCATAAATAAAATATGGAATTAGTTTTTCTTTGAATTATTTATGTTTAAACGAAACTCCGAAGTGCAGTTTTTCTAAGTTTATAAAGAAAATATATATTTATATGAAGTGGTTGATAAAACAGATCAAATACTCCAATGCTCTGAAGTACATGTTTTCTAAGTTTATAAAGAAAGTAACTATTTGCATGAAGAGGTTGATAAAGCAGACTAAATTCTCAAATATTTTAAACATACTCTGAAAAACTGAGTATCTTTTATGTACATAATCTTGGATTAGAGTTTTCATAAACGTATATAACACACACTTCACTGTCGCCACTCCTAAAACAGTACCGGTAGGATGGTCTGCAGTAATTGGAACTAGATTTTTAGTTTAACTACCTTCTGTTTTTTTTTTTTTCTTTTTGTAATATTGAAAAATATATTGAGTGGAATTTTATTAATTGGTCATCTATTTTTCTGAAGAGAAACTTTTTAAATGGGGTCCTTCTGGAATGCTTTATTGCTATTCCCATGTACGTCACAACGTAACACTTTTTCAAATAAATCATGCCTATTGGCTTATTTTACGAATATTCCAGTGATTAAAGTTATCATACAATATCAGAGTTTAACAAAAATCAATTTCGAGTCAATATATTTAAATACATTAAATTGAATTCATTTTTTTCAGAATAAAAATGTTCGCAATTTTCAACAGTTCTCTGTTCTAAATGAATTTAGAATGGAAATACTAGCTGTAAATAGCCAGTGTTGAACAACAACTTCTATTTGGAATGATGTCTACTCAGAGTAATTTTTAGAAAATTCAATTATCCACACTTACCGCAACACTCCATAGTATTCGATACATCCAATGAAGCATTGTTACACATTTGGTATCCTTCCACATCCATCGATGAGTGCGTTTTTGCAAAAATGCGTGTGCGGTAGCTATGCAAGCAATCGTATTCATTGAATTTTCGCTTGCAAATATCCGCAGTTTCGCGTGCCTGTCATGAACTGGGGTACATTTTAGTGATTGCGAAGATTGAAATTTCTGGGTTGTAGTGCGTGGTATTACACCGCTCATCATAAATTAATTGAAGTTCTCAATGTTAACACGGATTCTGGATTCTGTGAAGCTGATGTTGATGTTAATGATGCACGGATAATGCCGATAACAATGAGGTCCGCAGCTATTCCTGCCGAAAAGCACGCATATTTTTGGGCGCCTATGCTTAGTTTGGCTGCACTTTTCTGTATGTTGTGCCTTTTTAAGCATTTGTTACCACAAAAACAATTAGAATCGTCAGCAACTGATATAAATTTTCCAATCTGTAAACGAAAATTTGTAGTATTTTTTTTTCATTTACACCAATGTTTGACTTTGAAATTACGAAATTTTTAATTATGACATAAACTCTAAAGCTGTGAGCGTAGCAAGCAATTTCGCAGCAGATAATGGATATATTTTGATATTGTATTGACGACACATCGTCACATATTACCAGAATAAATTGTTGAAAGTTGAAGCAAATGCATTAAATTTCCATTTTTTCGGCATAAATAAAACTTGCATTAGGTTTTCATTTCAGATATAGCTGTTATTATATCTTAAAATGTCTATTGTAGTTCAAAATTGAGTAAACGAAATATAATTGTATTTTCCGTATATTTTCAGAAAACTATAAACTAAATATTACAATTTTAATTTACCCAGATCATACACTGTCATCTCTGTTGTCACAAAGAAACACTCATAGTATATGTTAGATTAAAATATAACATAAGATCTTAGAGATTCACTTAGGCATATTGGTCCATTGTGTTATTCTATAAAAATTAAAATCCATAAAATTATCTATAATTTTTAATAAAGACTAGGTTGTATTTGAAATGCTCCTTAATTTCAATATTCGTTTCACCGAAATTAAGACAATTTTTCTTAATTTCGTTCTAACCTTAAAACTGAATTTTGTATTGAAAAAACAACTTAATTTCGCTGAAACGAAGATGAAATTAAGATGTTTCTGAACATAGTACAACATTGTTAATTATTAAAAAGGTTACTTCTTGTCACTTGTGTATCGCATCCTATGATGTCAATTGTGTTATCCATAGTTAAAGAGTTTTCTGACCTAACCCAGAGAATTTTAGACTACTGATCAATTTTATAATATCACTTAGCGTAAGCTATTATAATAATAATAATAATATATCTGTATAATATTTATAATATTATCGTGCACTGCGATCTAAAAGATCTATTGTGCCTCAAACTCCGATTTTTATAATGAAAGACAGTATAGAGCCTATCTTTCCTATCCAGTTTTACCAATACTTTAACCACTACCATACTTCACATCAGAGGTAATAATACTTTACCTTGTGGACAACTCTGCAAAGTGTTTGTATAATATTTATAATATCATCGTGCACTGCGATCTAAAAGATCTATTGTGCCTCAAACTCCGATTTTTATAATGAAAGACAGTATAGAGCCTATCTTTCCTATCCAGTTTTACCAATACGTTAGCTACTACCATACTTCACATTAGGGGTGATAATACTTCACCTTGTAGGTACCCCCACAAATTGTTTGTCATTACTGGTCGAAATTTTTACTCTCCTGGTGCGGAGCATGTTGCTCATCTAGCGTGAAAGTGTGCGTTTGATGCCTCTTCTACAAAGAGTTGAGTTTATGACCTCATGTGAAGTATTATCAAAGGTTTCTTCACTGTCTAAGAAAGCGCAGATTGTTATATCTTTCTTATCTATGCTGTTCTGAATTGTGTTACTTAGTGGATTCAGAGCCGTTTCTTTCGATTGATCTGCCATATAGGCGTGTTGGCAGCTATATAGTGGAGTTTCTTTCAGTGTAGTGTAATATTTAAATCTATATTTAAATTTTTATTAATTCTGTAAACAATTATCTGAACATTTAGTGATTACTTTGAGATTAAAAAATTAATCTATTAAGATAAAATAAAGTATTTTATTTTATTTATTTTTTACACATTTTTGTGTAAATTTTTTCACGTTTTAAATAATTTCTCACTTAATATTACGAGTATGCAGTCTCAATTTATATCTGAATTAAATAACATTTACGACATAATGTAAGACATAACCAATATCAATAACGTAATTCGTCACGTTCCGCACAACGTTATGCACGTAAGGTTACAAGTGTGGCGTAAATCAAAGATTTGTATAGGACACAGATTTTCTTGGCTTGGTTGCAAGTTATTTGCTTATGGCGTGGCACTGTGTGTGTGTGTATCTATGTGTGTGCGATATTGTACGTTAGTTATAAGGAATCCCAGAAAGTGTCACGCAGTTACGCATGGTTAATAAAAAAGTTGGTAAAACTTTAACCACAGAAAATGTCAGAAATGAGCACTTAAAAGTGAACAACTTGTAATCCTGAAAAAAGGCAGGAAAGGTGAAATTTTCCTGTATTAAAATGCGAATCCTTCTGCATCCATTAAGTGAATTTAAATTATAAGTGTAAAAACTAATGCCAATATTTTCTTGAAAATTTATTGAAATATTTACTAATTTAATACAATACTCGTACTTGTTAAATAAACATACATTCTTATATTGTTCATCAAAGTAGAAACACATTAGATTTCAAGCCTTTACATGTAACATTAAATAGTCTCCTTTTCACTTGTAACCCTTACATAGATCCAATACAATATACTCTCTATACTAGTATACTTAATAATAATTCTTTTTATTATTATTAAAAAGCCAATAGAATATAGGCTCTAAGAAAATCACTGTGGGTGTGTTTTCAGACGTAGCCAAAGCATTCGACAGGATTGCTTTACAAACTATCAAGAACCCGCCGATTTTTTTTCACCACTGAATAGTCTTAAAGATACTTTAAAGATAGATATTTCCTTAAAGATAAAGATAGATATTTCCTTGTGCAATATCAAAAGGACACGTCCCATATGCTAAAAAGAGAAGCCGGTGTCCCTTAAAGGAGTGTATTAGACCCGATTCTGTATCTACTATACACTGCAGACATTTCTAAGCCAAAAAGTGGAGAAATACTGACTGTAATGTTTGCTGACGACAATGGACTTTTATCAACAAACAATGACATCACAAAAGC